AACCGCCTTCTGTCCGATGCGCCGGAGCTCCCTGCCCGGGGTTGAGAGTGTCTTGAAATTCCCTGCTAGTCAACCTCTAAATGGTCTATCGCCAAACACCTTCACCAAGGAGCTGCCATGTTCGGAAATAACCAAGCTTAACACCTGGGGAAGACAGTGTATCTGACAGTATCTGACAGATATAAGCGCTGACAGATCAAATAGAAACAAAGACTTTCCCTCTGGGGGATCATTATAGAAATATCTCTAAATTGTCAGTCAAAAGTTCTTACAAAGGGAGCTCTGGTGGCCTAGTGGCAAGACACTGCACTACAATCCCAGAGGTATATGGTTCAAATCCACAAGATGCTCTGCTGGAGAAGGAGGGGGAAATCTCCTCCTGTACCAGTCAGATCTGATTTGACCGTACAAGTTAAAAAAAAAAGTTCTTACAGATGACCTTCAGTTTTGCTATTAAGTAACAGAGTGACCTAGGGTAAGTCCATTGTCTTTTCTGGACCTTGATTTTTCTCTAGAAAATTAGGCATTTGATCTGAATGGCATTTTTAGTTTTTCTTATTCCTAAAATTCAGTGATTCTTAACTAGATCTTTAATTTTTCTTTGTGCCTGTGGTACGTCTTCATTGACTTAGCAATGGCAAGAGTGATTTTCAATCTATAACCCAGGCAGTTGGCATACTGGGGCTTCTGACTGGGGTGTAGGCCCGACTCCATATGGTCAGTTTGTCAATTGTTGGAATCTTTCTTCTGCCTCAGAATTCTCAGAAAGTTTGCTAACTAGGTTAAAGTTTTCTCACTAGATGAAGATTGCAGTAAAAATCCTTTTAATTCCCTCTGAGTTCCAGAAAACACCCAACTACTATAGTCGGAGAATTTCCAAACATAACCCTATAGCAAAAATCTAACCAATAAGAATTACATATAAACAACTATTGATAATGTCAACCATTCAAATGTTTGCACAGGAGAAATGGACATTTTGCAGTTTTGTCCCATAAGAACTCATCACCTTCCTGGTACTTTGGCATGTTTAAAGTTGGACCACTTTTTAATTCTTTCAAGAAAACTCATTGCTTTAATTCTAACAGATTGATTTTTGCTCCATGACAGCAAAAATATTGAGTTCCAGGTGATTCAGTTAGTCCTCAAAATAACCCTAGGTAGTAGGTACTATTTCCATTTTAGAGATGAGAAAACTGAGGTGCACACATTAATTAATTTACTCAAGGCTATTTAAACAATGACTAAGTTTTTTCCTAGACAGTTTCATTCCGGAAGAATCTACATGCTTAATCACTACACCAAACTATCTTTCCAGAAGGTATGTCAGATAAGCACAAGAGCCCAGAAAAACTGGATTTATCATCTCTACTTTATAAAAAGCAAACTGAGGCCCAGAGAGAGTAGGAAATTTGGCCGAAGTTTACACTAAACTTCTAGGAAGCAAAATTAAAACAACAAAACAAAGAGGAAAAAAAAATCCAAAACTGCCAGGCAGATGAATTATAATTTGAAACCAGGTTCATTATAAAATTTTTTTGACTGTATTATTTATATTATTTCTTTATATGTATATGCATATATATCTTATTTTACGAATCCCTAAGGTATTTATCACATATTACTAGAAATTAGCTTTACTCTTGTCTCAGAATCAAGAGTTTTAGATATCTCAAGAGTTTTTAATAGTAATATCAGTTTAATCAAGCCATCCATAAAAACCCTGTAGTACAGTGCTGGTGGTACAGTGGTCAAGCTTTAGTGAAAAAGTAGAAGACCCTTAAAGAGAGAAATTGACACAATGTCTGTAACAATTATTTGCAAAAATTTCCCAAATGTTGCACTAAATATAAAAATAGGTCATTGATTCTCCTGAGTGAGACTGGGATTTCTTTACATGGGCTGTTTTATAATATATTGATGATTCTTGTAGGGGCCCTTGAGTGAGCCTATGAGGTACAGTAGAATGAGCCTTGCCTGACCCTGCACCATGCTCTGCCATGCTTATACCTGTCATTATAGCCACTGTATCAATCCACCTCACTAAGGGTCTTCCTCTTTTGGGCTGAACAAACATGATGCCCTTTTTAAAAATTTTTTTTTTATTATTTTTTCTGTGTGTGCACCGTCAAATCAGATCCAACTGGTACAGGAGGAGATTGCCCCTCCTTCTCCAGCAGAGCGTCTGGTGGATTTGAACTGTGCACTTCTGGGATTGCAATGCAACTTCTTGCTACTAGGCCACCAGAGCTCCCTTATAGGATTCCCTTTTTGAGGGACTGTTTTCTCTAGATAACATGTGCAAAGTATATGAGGGAAAAAAAAATCTCACCATTCTTGCTTCTTGCTTTTTAAGGAATATTCTGACTGTACTTCAAGACAAATTTGTTATTTAGTAGCTCATGGTATAGTCAATAGTCCTTAAAACCTTGAAAAGAGATCTTAATTGAAATTAAGCCCTCTGAAAAAAATAAAGGGAAATTTGTTTCTTTTTTTATGTTGAACTGTTTTTTATTATGAGTCAATAGAGTGAAAAAATAGCTGCACTTTCTTTAAGCATTATTTTTAAATTGAGCTTGCAAACAAATTATGTTGTTGTTGTAATATGTCATAGAGTCAATTATGACTTTTAGCAACCTTCTGAAACTTGCCTGTCCTGAGCCAGCCTCACCATTTCTGACCCCTTTGCCACAGTCACTATGTCAATCCATCTCATCCAAGGTCTTTCTCTCCTGCACTGTTGTTCCACCCTTCCAAGCATGATGTTCTTTTCCAAAGACTGGTCCCTCCTGACAACATGTCCATAGTTTTAAGATGGAGTTTCAAGATCCTTGCCTCCAACAAGCAACCTGGTTTCACCCTCTTTAGACTGACCCGTTTTTTTCTCTTGGCAGTCTATGGTATATGCAATACTCTTCTCCAGCACCACAACTCAATTCTTCTTCTATCATCCTTTAGTCATTGTCCCCCTCTCAGATGCATAGCAAGAGATTGAGAAGATCAGAGCCTGGATCAGGTGCTCCTTAAGTCTCTACACTGATCCTGTTGCTCTCTAGCAATATGGAGAGGTCCATGACAGCAGATTTTTTCCAATGCAACTCATCCTTTTCTTTCCGGACTTCTGGTGCCAAAGGTGTTGATTGTGGATCTGAACAAGATGAAGTTAATTGAAAAAAATATTCTTGAGTCTCTACTGTCTCCAGAGCATTGTTACTCTCTAAGATAATACTAAGACAGAAGAAGATATATTGTTGAGTTGTTATGGGCAGTCTCCCTTCTGTGTAATTTATAGCCTCTGAAACCTGCTGGAGGATCAACTACGAGTCAGTTCCAACTCAAAGACAATTTCTGTTTTTTGAGTTCTCCTTCAAGTGTATTTGTGAACAAGTAAATAATTTTATTATTTTCATTGAGTGAATGGAAAAATTAACCCAAAGATGTATTTCAAATTTACAGAAAATTGATAGTAGAGATTACAGTGTCTACTTAACTAATTTCCCAAAGAATAGTTAAATTCTAACTATATAGTTATCTTTTAAGGAGCCCTGATGGCATAGTTTGTAAAGTATTTGGCTGGTAACAGAACAGTAGGAATCCATCAGCTGCTCTGCAAGAGAAAGGTGGGCAGTCTCCTGTAAAATATTTCAGCTTCAGAAACCCATTGAGGGTCACTACGAGTTGGAATTAATTTGATGACAGTGGATAGTTCTCTTTTTTTGAAAATTCACAAAATGGATTTTTCTAATTTAAATTTATTTTATGATTTGATTATTTTGGTAATCAGTCTTTTTTATTTTTATAAATGAGCTTCAAGAATTTCCTCTAAATCAGAACAATTTGAGAAACTATGTACACTCAACTGCACTTGATATTAGTTTTGTTTGTTTGGATTTTTGCTCTTAGATATTTTTTAGTTTGCTCCTTGGGCAGAGCAAGATAAGAAATGCTGTGTTACCAGGTCAACAAAGCAAGAAGGAAAAAGAAAAGGCACCACATTAGTAAGAACAAGTAAAATTACTCCTATAAAAATCTTAGAGACTCAATAAGGAAACTCCTGGAATTGATAGAAATACTTACCAGTGTGACACTGCTTTATAAAGTTGGAAACAGAAATAATACTTAGTTCAACAGTCTTCCTTCTGGGTGTATATACCCCTGCCATCGAGCTGATTTCAACCCACAGTGTCCTTCCTCCAGACTCTTAGGTTGTAATTCTTTATAGGAGAAGGTTGTTTTTCTTCCTGTCAGCTGGTAGACTTAAACCTCCAACCTTTTGGTTAGTAGCCAAACACTTCACACACTGAGTTTGGTGTTATTTTAAAAGTTGGCTTTTCCCCCCTTTTTAAAAAATCCATTACAGTTAGCTGCATCTGGTCTCCAGTTACTTTCATTGCAAACATATGGTCTTGCAAATCAGCATGGTCAGATCATCAACAGTTGTGTGACTAGCATAAGAAAAAGAGCACGTTTACACACACAGGGCAGCAAGACTTGAGGCAGGCAAGATATGTGGTGGCAAGACTTGAAGGAGATTGGAGCAGACCCTGTTGGTGAGACCCTCGTGATGGTGTTGGAGAGACTGTGGTGTTGCTGTGGAGAAACTGGTGAAGTGTAAGCAGAGGAGCCTTGCTTGAGATAAAGGCCACAGTTAAAGGTGTTTGCATCTTGCTGGATGCTTGAAAGAGAAACTGACTTATAACTTGCCGGATGCTTGTTTGCTTGGAGGTAAACTTGCTGAATTATTTGGATTTGATTGCTGAACTGAAACCAGATCTCCTGGACTGATGGAGGAATCATTCCTTGTGACTGCATGGCTAAAACTTGGATTTGTTTGGGTGATATTCTTTGCCTCCCCTACTCACTCACTTCCTTCCTAATAAAGCGCATTGTTGGTACCATAAAAAAATGCTGTGTCAGTGCTATGTTAAGTAAGATATATAATTAACTGCTTTCTTTTTTGCAGGTTGGAATTGCCAAAAATATCCTGATACACTCCCAGAATGGCCACGGCTCAGCTCTCTCACCCGGTCAAGTTATGTAAGGTATTTGTTAAGAATGTAAAGAAACTCAATGACCATTAAATGAGTTAACTTTTTTAAAAAATCTTTAATGTTTGTGTATTATTATTATTATTATTCAAGAGGAAATTATGTCAGTTAATTGACACATTCTATTCTGAGAGGGTATCTACATTTATCTGCCTACTGAACTGAAGATGTTCAGAAGATTAGAAAATCCTCCTATGAAATAACTTATGGGTGCTTATTTCATGTTTATCTATTTAGATCTTCTGGAGTAAAAGAAATCAGAAACCAAAAAGTGTTTAAAGAAAAGTATTCCTTATTAGATATTCACTTTCTGAAGCAATTAGGAAACTATTGATAAACACTTGGATGCAGATAAAAGAATTGAAGGGAAGAAAGTTGAATGAGGAACTTTGTAAAACATCCCAGGGCTATGCAATCTTAATGGAGTTTGGCCAGGAGAATTTAGCTTGTCTTATTGATATTTATGAATGCATTACTCATTTATTTATTGACACTCAGTATCTTATATAAGTATAAATCTGCTGTCAAGGACCTCTCCAGAGTACTGAAGAGCAACAATGTCTGTCTAGAAACCAAGATGTGCCTGATCCAGGACATGGTCATTGCAATTACTTGCTATGAGAGCTGAATAATAACTAAGGATGATAGAAGAAGATTTATGCCTTTGATTTGTGAAGAGAAGGGTATTGAATATACCATAGACTGCTAGAAGAACAAACAAGTTCATCTGGAGAGGCAGAAATGATGCTGCTTCTTGGAGGCAAAAATTTTGAAGCTCCCTCCATCTGACACACTTTGGGCATGTTGCCAGGAGGAGCCAGTCCTTAGAGAGGGACATCATACTTGGAAGGGTGGAGGGACAGTGCAAGAGAGGAAGACCCTGGGTGAGATGGATTGACTCAGAGACTGGAGTAACAGGGGTAGGTGTGTCAGAGACAATGAGGTTGGTTCAAGATACAGCTGGGTACAGAGCATATAGAGTCGCTATGAGTTGTAAGCGACTCGATGACACGTAACAACAACATATAAACAATGTAGAAGTACATAAAATACTGTGTTATTTGGAGAGAACACAAGGATATGATTGTCATCTCAGGGAAATAAGACAAGAGTTAAGTGAGCACACAAATCAGGATATGCTTTATACCCTTTATATATATGTGGAAATAAAGAGTACATAAATGGAACACAAGTTATAGAAAAGGCTGGCATCCATTTCCTAAACAACTTGCCTCTGGAAACTCTATGAACCTAGAGAAATGATGATAATTATAAAATAGGGTTAAGGTCTTTTGTTCATAGTGTTACTATGAGTTGTGCTCTACTCAAAAAAATCAGCAACAACAAATACAGTGTAAACTGGGATGATTTGTATTTACCTCAGAGAGGAGGTCTAATTTAAAGTACACCTTAAATGATGAAAATATTTGCCTTGAAGAGAATGTAGCATGTACATTGAGAGAATATGGAAGAACCTGTCCTTACTAGAGTGCAAAGCTCCTACTGTACAGAAGTAGAAAATACCAGAGTGTGGGAATTGTAGGGACAAATTAATATGAATCTTGAAAGTCAGGCTAATGCTTTATTTTCAATGGAAAGAGGGTAGATAAACTAATTATTTTGGGGATATATAACCATAACAGCAGACGGGAAGGTTGAAGTTGGAAGAAAATGAAAACAGAGAGAAGACTATCATCTGCCTGGCTCAGATCCAACATAGCCACTCACTAATCAGACTGTGAGGGAGCGCTGTGGCCCAGTGGCAAGAAGCTACGCTGCAGTCCTGAAGGCACGTGGTTCAATGCCATCAGCCATTCCTTAGCATCTCTGTGGTGGTGTGATTAATCAGACGGCCAACTATGGGTCAGTTCCGACTCTGTGGTATAACACCACAACAACAATCAGACGGCTGGTTTGAACTAGGCTTCCTAAGTGTGCTTCCGCCCTGGGGAAGAAGATACTGAGTGGGGTATATGAATTGCAATTGGGTTTCCTCACTCTAACAACCTTTTGATCAAACTAAGTCTCTGTAGGGTTTGAACTACTACTCCCAGAGAGAAGATTTGTGCCCTATCAATTCAGCTAAGACTGCTTCAGAGAAAAGGAATAGAATTTAGCATTTGGATATAGGATGTGAAGGGAAGGTATAAGCCAAAGTTGATTCTGCTTCTAGCTTGGTTGGCTAAAGTGGATGCTAATTAATTTTATCTGAGAATGAAACTTCAAATGGAATTTTAGCCAGGGAAAGTGAGAGAAATTGAATTTGAGGGGTTTACAAAGTTGTGTGAGTCCAGATGTTCAGATTGGAGCTCAGTACAGAAACCAGTCCTGTCAGTTAGTTGAAACTGAGTGAGATTAAATTACCCAGCAAGAGAGAGTACTGGGTAAATAAAATAACTGGAGATTGACTCTGATGTAGGAACAACATTTAGAGAAGACAGCCAGCAGTTGGAAAAAAAATGAAAAAAGACAGCTGTGGAGGGATAGACCAAAAACCAAAAGATACAGTGTTATGACAGTTTAGGGAGAAGAGTTTTCCCAGGAGAGTGGGCAAACACTGCAGAGAAGGTAAAGACTTCTGGACAAAAGTCAGTGACTTTGGCAGTTAGTATATATTTTGTGTCTGTGTGAAGAAGGGAATAGGTGAAAATCAGATTTCAGTTGGGTCTGAGGAGTGTATGAGACCCCAGTTTTGCCTCAAATCCGCAAAATGTTGTGAATAAAAAGGTATTAGATTTGAATCACTTGGTTGGCTCTACCTTTCTGCCCTACTTGCCTGTGGATATTTGATTTAATTTCATGTTCAAAGCCCTGTTTCCTAGTGAATTACCTGTAAAGGTGTCAGACTTGAAATCTGCTGTGGTGGGCTGAATATATTAAAGAATACAAATATTTTTCACCTTTGGGTTTTTTTCCCTCCAGGAGACAATTTTCCCCTCCCAAATCGCTACTGAGCATGAATCATTAATAATGGTGAAGAAGCTTTTTGCTACTTCTATCTCATGTATAACATATCTAAGGGGCCTGTTTCCAGAGAGCTCTTATGGAGAACGCCATTTAGAAGGTAAAATTTAACTGGTTACTTTAACTGTTGTAACCTTGTCCCTATTTGGCAGAAATAAAAGTTTCACTTTTCACGGATTGTGCTAATTCCAAGCCATCTGCCTGTTCTTCAAGGCCAGTTTACTAGTTCATTTTCCCCTTTAATTCTACTAACTCTTATTTAGTGGTCCCATCAGTAGGAGCCATTAGTTCCTGACTAGATACAAAAAGATGGATTAAAGGAAAAAGAAATCTATATAAACAAGCCCAGGAATCCTAAATATACCTACAAAAGCAGCAGCCAGATCAACATCTATTTGGATGCCACAGATTTGCACTGTTTTGTTCTTCAGTTGAATTTGGATTTTGAGGCATACTTGGCATTGAGAAACTTCATTGGAGCCAGGTTTGAAAACAAAAGCCAAAAACAACCTCCCCCTTTCCCCTGTTAACACATAAATTATATAGGACAGGGGGCAGGAAGTGAGAGGGAGGAGGAGTACATATTCTTGCCAGATTTATTTTTTATTATTACAGATATTTAGACATTTTTTACTCTAATAAACTCTGTTCTTTTTTCAATTTCTAGATCATCATCTACTTTCCTTCTCTTTATTTTCTGTGCTCTTAAGTTTATTATCTCACCACCTTATATTACATATTGTTTCTAACTCCTTTTCTTCTCTTATAATCAAAGAAAAATGCATCTGCAACTCTTTGTATCAGATTATATTAATTTCCTAAACTCTATGTGCCTAAAAAGCTGGATTGTGATAACAATTCAGAAAATCTGGTTGATTTATCACTAGAGTGAAAGTATCCTTTGGAAAGTAAATAAATGCATAGTGACAAGCGTCTTAGTGTGATATAATTTTTCAAACTCAAACTGTATTCTTATTTTCTCACTATTTTTTAAAAAATGTGATTTGACAGGACATTTACAAAGCAAATTGGTTTTCCATTCAAATATTCATATATATATTTGTTTTATCATATCAATTGCAATACTCACAATGGAGTTGCACTTTCCCCCTGCAATTTTCATTTCCTTTAATCCTTCTACATCTTCCTGCCATCTAGGCTTTATCCTTGGACAAATGCCTTTTTTATTTCATAGGTTGTAATTATAATGAATGAATGACTCCTTGTGTTATTATTATTGTTATGTGCTCTCAAGTTGGCTCCAACTTGCAGAGACTCTTGTGCACAACAGAACAAAACTCTGCTCCATCCTGCATCATCCTTACAATCTGCCCATTATTGCAGTCACTGAGTCAATCTATCTCATTGAGGGTCTTCCTCTCTCAGTAACCCTCACTTTTCTGAGCATTATGTGCTTCTCCAAGGACTGGCCCCTTCTGATAACGTGCACAAAACATGTGGAACAGATCCTCACCAGTTTGTCTCTAAGGAGTAATCCAGCTGTACTTCTTCCAATTCAGATTTTTCTTTTTTCATTTATCCGCAGTATATTCAATATTCTTTGTGCTGGCACCACAATGCAAGGACATCAATTCTTCTTCCGTTTTCTTTATTCATTATCCAGCTTCCAAATGCATATGAAGCAACTAGGAAAGTTTGCTTTCAAGGGCCTTTCCAAAGTCCTGAAGAACAGTAAAGAAGAAGAATAAGAAAGGAAGAACAGTTTGAAGACTAAGGTGCACCTGACTCAAAGTATGGTCTTTCCAGTCATCAGCTGTGCACCTCAGGGCTGGATAATGAACTGATATCTTTGAGTTGTGGTGTTGGAGAAAAGTACTGAATATCCCATGGAATGCTAAAAGAACAAACAGATATGACTTGGAGAAAGTGCAACCAGAGTGCTTCTTAGAGGCAAGTATAGGGAAGCTTCATCTCACATACTTTGGACACATTGTTACAAGGAGAGGCTATTCTTTGGAAAGGGACATCATGTTTGGGAAGGTGGATGGTCAGCAAAAGAGAAAAACCTTCAGTGAAGTAGATTGATAGTGTCTGTAGCAATTGGCTCAATCAAGTGTGTCAGGGATGATAAAGACGGCACAGGATAGGACAGGGTTGAGATCTGTTGTTCATGTTGTTGTTGTTGTTGTTATGTGCCGTCAAGTCGCCTGCGACTCATAGCGACCCTATGTACAACAGCCCTAAACTCCGCTCTGTCCTGTGCCAATCGCACTGTCTCTGACACTCCCATCCCAATTATCCCAGTCACTGAATCAATCCACCTCATAGAGGGCCTTCCTCTCCTGCGCCGTCCCTCCACCCTCCCAAGCATGATGTCCCTCTCCAAGGACCGGTCTCTCCTCACTACATGTCCGAAGTAAGTTAGACGGAGCCTCAGAATCCTTGCCTCCAAGGAGCCACCCGGTTTAACCCTCTCCAGGACAAATCTATTTGTTTTCCTAGCAGTCCATGGTATTCTCACTACTCTTCTCCAGCACCACAGCTCAAAGGCATCAGTTCTCCTTCTATCCTCCTTGGTCATTGTCCAACTCTCTGATGCATAACAGGTGATTGTGAAGACTATGGCCTGTATCAGACACACCTTAGTCTCCAGAGAGACACCACTGCTCTTCAGCACTTTGGAGAGGTCCCTAACAGCAGACTTTCCCATGGCAATGCGCCTTTTAATTTCCTGGCTGCTGGTGCCAAGACTGTTGACTATGGAGCCAAGCAAACTAAAGCTGTGTACAATCTCAATCTCCTCACCATCCATCCTGATGCTGCCGATTGGTCCAGGGGTGAGAATCTTTGTCTTCTTGACATTGAGCCTCAATCCATATTGCAGGCTGCAGCCCTTGACACTCTGCAGCAGGTGCTTCAGGTCCTCCTCAGTTTCAGTAAGCAGGGTTGTGTCATCCGCATAACGCAGATTGTTGATAAATCGTCCACCAATCCTGACCCCACATTTCTCCTCATAGAGCCCAGCCTCCCGGATAATCTGTTCTGCATATAGGTTGAAGAGGTATGGAGATAGGATGCATCCCTGGCGTACGCCCTTCCCAATTTTGAACCATGCAGTGTTCCCTTGCTCTGTTCTGACGACTGCCTCCTGGTCCAAGTATAAGTTTCGCATTAGAACGATCAAGTGTTCTGGGATTCCCATTCTTCTCAGAGTCAGCCACAGTTTGTTATGATCTACACAGTCAAATGCCTTTGCATAGTCAATGAAGCATAGATAGACATTCCTGTTGTTCATAGGGTCACTATTAGTCAACAGCATCTAACAACCACCACAAACAACATATCTTTCTGTATTTACCTGTAGAAACTTTCAGCATTGAAACTTGTGTTTTTTTCCCTTCAGTTTTTTTTTCAGCTTGAAAATGCTAAGCATATTCTTCTCTTTTTATTTCCTAACTCCTGATCGTTTTATATTTCCTTATAATATTCTGCTTTGTATTTTTAAGTTGCCCTTTGAATTTTCCCATTCATTCATCACTCTTCATTGTCTCTTCTTTTTACTTTAGTTTCTCTGTGTTTCAGACTCTCTTCTAACATTCATTTTGGTTTTTCATTTCCCCCCCCCATTTTTAATGACCTTTTACTTTCCTTATATCTCATGTCCTAGATATCATTCCACAATTTGTCTGGTTTTAGTCATTAGTGTTTACAGCATCAAATATATTCTTGAGATGGTCTCCAAATGACTTTGAATTGTGATGATGGCAAGAAAATGGATTATATATACCATGCAGATGAAAAGTAGACAGTCAATAAGGAGACCAAAGAGGAAATGATGCCTTTGAATCATGGTGTTGGTGAAGAATATTGAAGATACGATGGATAGCCAAAGGAACAAATCTGTCTTAGATTAAGTACAGCCAGAATTCTCCTTAGAAAAGAGAATGGTAAAACTTCTCACATGTTTTGGACATGTTATGAAGAGCAATATGTTCCTAAAGAATGATAGCATGCTTGGTAGAGTAGATCAGTAAAGAAGAGAAAGACCCTGTGTTGACATAGAGGCCTCAAACATATCAGCGATTGTCAGGATGTCACCGGACTGTACTGAATTTCCTTCTGTTGAAGATAAGGTTACTATGAATCAGAACTGACTTAACTGCCCTGCACAACAATGTCAGCAACATTCTTGCTAAGGTAGTTGGGCTTCAGATAGAAAAATCTGAGTATAATCCACTGGGGTAGGGGACAGGAAGTCATCTTTCTTTTAATTGAGAACAAGAGAAATACTAAAGAAATGACTGAACCTGGGCTATATATTTTAAGTTGGTCAGTACTACCTTGCAATTTGTTAGAATCCAACAAAAGAAGTACAATTTATTTTTCAGCCAACTCAGCTGTACTACATTGTAGAAAGGGGCAAACACTAAAGCACCATGGGGATTGGAGCTAACTAAAGTTTATTTTTAAAATAGTTATTAGGAGATTCAAAATGCTTGTAGAAGCTGAAGAACTAAATAAGTTCTATCAATAAAATAGTTAAAGAAAATACCCTTATTTAGCATGGGCATCTTCAGCTCAGCAGTTATTAGAGTAATACAGACTTGTGTCTCTCTTTTTGTAGACCTCAGTTTAAAAATCCTTCGAGAAGATAAAAAATGTCCTGGGTCACTGCATATTATCAAATGGTAAGCAACTGGAAATTCAGAAAACATATTATTTTCATCATGGCTGAAATAAAACCCATGAGACTATTATTTGATAGACTACTGTCTTAAAACCATGTCTTTCTTTTTTTTTTAACTGTTTACTAGAAATTTGTAGCATTTAATATTAACATACTAATTTTGGTTTGTACTGGAAGAAAATGGACTGGTATAAAGGAAGAAAACTACCAACCAAAATTTGGTTACTCAGTGTATGCACGTCATTCACATAAACATTATGGGAGGCAAAAGGGAAAATAAATGTGTTTCCCTACTACAAAGTTTCTTGGCTATTATAAAGTTTTTGACATATGAAAACATTATAGAAGTTTTAAAGATTATTTATGGTACAGATAAAATGGCTATAATTTTAATATATATCAAAGCAAAACATGTAAATGAATTCTGTATTTGGAATATTTTTGCTTATTTACTTTGGCTTTGTAACTAGTGCATATTAACACCAGACATTTCTTTCTTGACAGGATTCAAGGTTGTTTTGATGCTTTGGAAAAGAAATATGTAAGGATATTTTAAAATTTACATGAAAATTAAAGACTCATTTCTTGTTACTTAATAAAATCCTACTCCTTTTATTCTTTTGTGTTTAACAATGTACTGGTGCTTACATTTGCAGTCATAACCTGGTTTCCTTTTATCTTATACTTTCATTTTTATATTTTCCATTAATGTCTTGTTTGTGTCACTTAGAAGTTACTCTCTCCATTTTTCTCACTTACATAGTATCTTTTGACCACATAATTCACAGAATGTGGGACAGAGGAGACGAAAGTCTGGCATTTATCACATTAAGCATGTTCCAAATGGTGGTGATTCAATCTGCAGATGTGAGGAAAAATGGACTGGACTCAATCAGATTTTGTGTTAGCTTATATTTTGGTAACAATGACTACGGAGGATAGAAGGAGAATTGACGCCTTTGAGCTGTGGTGCTGGAGAAGAGTATTGAATGTACCATGGACTGCCAAGAAAACAAACAGATTCATCCTACAGAGGGTTAAACCAGGCTGCTCCTTGGAGGCAAGGATTCTGGGGCTTCGTCTGACATAACTTTGGACATGTCGTAAGGAGAGACAGGTCTTTAGAGAGGGACATCATGCTGGGTAGAGTAGAGGGACAGCACAGGAGGGGAAGACCCTCTATGAGGTGGATTGATTCAGTGACTGGGGTAATCGGAATGGGTGTGTCAGAGGCAATGAGATTGGCACAGGATAGAGCACGGTTTAGGGCTGTTGTATATAGGGTCACTATGAGTTGCAAACGACTGGACAGCACATAACAACAACAATGTATCATACATGTGTGTAAACTGTTTCCTCAAAATGGATGGTATTGTAGCTTGGTTTTTTAAAATTTTAAGTGTGTCTGATCTTTCATGCTGCTCAAGAAAGCTCTGAAGGATGCAAAAATAGAGGATTTAGTCCTAGTTGAGGTATGTATAGGAATGAAATGCCTGCCATTTGTTCTTCCTCTTTTTCTCATCCACTTTCTTTTCACTGTTTCCCAATTCTTATTCTTTTAAGAAATCCTGAACTGAGTCAGCTTTATAATTTTATTATCTAGTATATTAATATTTCTTTTGTTTATTGAATAGTTATAACTTGAAATTTATTTGACGTTGATCTGGGGCTTACGAAATACAAAGCAAAAAATAGATAAAGTGCTGTGCAAACAAAGAGCTTATTGATCATAGGCTTATAGTGAGAGATAAGAGATTTTCATAGGACGGTTGAGGATTAGCTGTTGGGCACTGATCCAACTCTATCTGTTGCTAAAATATTGAAATATTTGTGTACTGGATGGTGAATAAGGAGATTTTGTGGTACAGGGCTGTGGTCCAGGGTGGTATTAGGCAATTTAAGCAAAAGCTTGGCAGTTTAAGTCCATCAACTGCTCTGTAGGAGAAAGATGAACAATATCCTCCCCTAAAGATTTACCTACTCCCCAACCCTTGAGTTGGAACCAACTCAAGGGCAGTGGATTTTTTAGTTGTGTGGTAAATAAACACTTTTCTGAGACTGCCAAATGACCCTTCTTCTACTATCCTGTTCTCTCAGTCTCCAGTGTGTCTGTCTTCTGGCATCTCCCAAGATCTCATAAAAATCCAGAAGTGAAGGATTAGCACCTGCTCCAGGGCTAGATCACTATCATTTTGATTTATCAGATAGTACCTATCCTATATTGGGCTATTATGCTATATATTTTTCCCATACAGTTTGATTTTTTTTTTACAGTTTGATATTTCTTTGTTTAAAAAAAATCAAGAAACATTTTGACAACCCCCTCTAGCCATAAATAACTGCCATAAATAACAATCATACTTATTAGACAGTGATGCAGGTTAAGAAAAAAAATACTGATCATAGTCAGCAGAAGTTATGGAAACAATCCCAGAGATGTGCAGTTTGAATCTACCAGATGCTCTGCTGGAGAATGGGGGACAATCTCCTCCTGTACCAGTCAGATCCGATTTGATGGTACACACAAAAAATAATAAAACAAACAAACGAAAAATAAAAAAGAAAAGAAGTAATGGAAAAGAAGGGATTACAATCAGCAAGAAGGACCCCTGATGGTGTGGTGGTTAAGACACTCAGCTACTGAAAGATCAGCAGTTCAAACCCAGGAGGAAGATGTGATAATCTGCTTCCATAAAGATTTGCAAACCTTCTGGTGCATTTCTACTTCATTCTGTTTGGTAGCTGTGACTTGGACTTGACTTGATGGCAGGTATTATATTGAGTAAAAGAACTGAAGGAAATCTTTGGACAAAAAAAATTACGTTAGAGCTTTTAGGATTTGAGCAGGTTATGAAGGGAAGAAGGCTGTCTCAGGCATAAAGAACAGTGCTCATTCAGTCTTCATCTGCTCATTTAGCCCAGTGTTCTAGTGCAGGCCTTTGAAAGACAGTATAATGCTTTCAGAGTACAAGTTTTGGAATCTCATAATCTAAGGTGAATCCTAGTCTTTGGGCAAGTAATCTGCCTTTTAGTATCTTAGGTTTTCTTTTCAAAGATCCTACTTCTTGATACCTCAGTTTCTTTACATATAAAGTGGAGATAACAGTAACACCTACATCTGAGGGTTATTTAAGGGAGCTCTGGTGGCCCAATGGTAAGGAGCTGCACTACCAACCAGAAGGCATGCAGTTAGAATCTCCCAGCTACTCCAAGAGAGAAAGAAAGATGGTCAATCTCCTCCAATGCCCTTGAAAACCCTCTGGAGGGTTCTACGAGTTAGTTCTACTCAGTGTTACATAACAACAAGAAGGACAGTATTTGATAATTGTGTGAAGTAATAATCTAAAACAATAGTTCACAAACTTCAGAATCACCTAAAGGATTTTAACATTTCTGATGCAGCAGATCAGGAGTGGTTAAGTTAGAATTTACATTGCTGGTGATGCTGATACTGATGGCCCAGCGACCATACTTTGAAACCCAAAATGTTGACCTAAAAAGTTTAGAACATTAACCGGCATATAATAAGCTTTATGTAAATTTTAGCTGTAAATTTTATTTTTTTAATTAATTTGTCATATATTGACTATTTAACCTCTTCTGTTATGCCTAGGCACTAGATAAGATAGAGTGAGATATTATTCCTTCTCTCCAAGAGATCACAAACTGAGAGTCACTTCTTAAATAATTACAATATTACATATATTAAAATATATGTTTTATTGCTAAAATATATGGCAGTGTATTATACAAAGAGTAGTTTGATGGATTTATTTTACTTACTAAGCTAACTGTACAACTGAATCAGTGAAATCATATTGATTTATTATACAACAAAGTCTTAGATGAACTATTTAGTCTCTTAAGAATATTTTTATTGGATTTCTTTGTTGTTAATCTCTTGTAACTTTTCTTAAGGTGCTAATAGGAAATAACGTTCTCAAATTATTTTGATAAAGTCAAGTTTGAATGTCTAAAGAGCTTACTGAAGATGATGGTTGTTTCCAGTTGTGTGATTTTTTTTCTTTTCTGTGTGCTTCATATGTTGATTGAATTCTTTAAAATTAGTAGATTTTAGAGATCTATCAACAAACAATCTGCGTTTTGCAGATGATACAACCCTAATTGCTGAAACTGAGGAGGACCTGAAGCGCTTGCAGCCTTCAATATAGATTGAGGCTCAATGTCAAGAAGACAAAGATTCTCACCACTGGATCAATTGGCAACATCAGGATGGATGGTGAAGAGATTGAGATTGTTCACAGCTATAGTTTGCTTGGCTCCACAATCAACACTCTTGGAAACAGCAGCCAGGAAATTAAAAAATGTATAGCCATGGGAAAGTCTGCTGTTAGGGACCTTTCCAAAGTTCTGAAGAGCAATGGTGTCTCTCTGGAGACTAAAGTGCATCTGATACAGGACATGGTCTGATGCCTTTGAGCTGTGGTGCTGGAGAAAGTATTGAGGATACCATGGACTGCCAAGAAAACAAACAGATTCATCCTGAAAAGGGTTAAACCAGGCTGCTTCTTGGAGGCAAGGATTCTGAGGCTTCGTCTGACATACTTTGGTTATGTTGTAAGGAGAGACCAGTCCTTGGAGAAGGGACATTATGCTTGGGAGGTTAGAGAGACAGTGCAGGAGGAGAAGGCCCTCTATGAGGTGGATTGATTCAGTGACTGGGGTAATCGGGATGGGAGTGTCAGGGACAGTGTGGTTGGCACAGGACAGAGTTTAGGGCTTTTCTATATAGGGTCGCTATGAGTCGCAAGCAACTCGATGGCACATTGGCACATAGCAACTATATATATATATATATACACATATATATATATATGACAAGTTAGAAGGAGACAAGGTGTGTATATATATATATATATATATATATATGTATATATATATATATATATATATATATATATACCTTGTCTCCTTCTAACTTGTCTCATTTTCATACTTTATTCCCCACCATTCAATCCATTGTCCCAACTACCTGCTTTCAAAAGCATAGGTCTGATCATGTTACACCTTTGCTTAAAAATCTTCAGTTGTTTTTGAAATAGTTTTTCTATCCCTCACCCTTAGTCTGGATAACTCCAATTTATTATTCTTCTGATTTTAGCTTAACTATTAATTCCTCAGGGAAATCTTTACTGATAATTTGATGCTGCCCCCCACCCTCCCGCTTATAATTTAACTATGAATAATGCTTTTATAACAATTTGTGTTGCTTTTTCATAGCAGTTAACATAAATTGTAAATATGAAGCCTAGCCATCTGAGTGTGATTTTTTGTTTTACCATATATGAAAGTGATGTTTACAGTATACTGTAGTCTGTTAAGTATACACTGTTGTTATGCGCCATCAAGTCAGACCCGACTCATAGCTGACCCTACGGTGGGTTTTCCAAGGATGTAAATTGCACAAGAAGAGATTGCCCAACTTTCTTCCATGGAGCTGCTGGTGAATTTGAACTGCCTGTCTTGGGTTGACAGGTGGTTCAAATTCAACAACTTCTCCATGGGGGGAAGATGGCAGTCTCCTGTGCAGTTTACTATATGAAGAGGAATGTGGCATTAGCATTGGAAGAAGACTCATCAGCAAACTAAATTATGTAAATGACACAACCATGCTTGCTGAAAGTGAAAAAGACTTGAAACACTTGCAACAGAAGATCAAATATTACATCCTTCCATATGAATTGTATTTCAAAATCAAGAAAACAAAAATCCTCACCACTGGATCAATATGCAACATTATGATAGGTGGAGAAAAGGTTGAAGTAGTCAACAGTTTCAATTTACTTAGAGCTACAACATGGTAACAGTAGTCAAGAAATCAAGAGATATGTTGCATTGGTAAAATCTACTGTCAAGGACCTCTCCAGTGTGGAAAAGAGAAAAGATGTAAGTTTAAAGACTGGTCGATGCTGTAGTCTTTTCTGTTATTTTCTATGCATCTGAAAGTTGTACAGTAAATAAGGATGACAGAAGAAGAATCAATGCCTTTGAATTGTGTTGTTGGAGAGAGTATTGAATATTCCATGGACTGCCAAAAAAAACCCAAAAAGTCTTAGATATAGTGCAACCAGAGTGCTCCTTGGAGGGAAGAATGGTGAGGCCTAAACTTAAGATACTTTGGGCATGTTGTTAACAGAGACTCTTCTTTGATGAAGGGCGTATGTAATGCTTGGAAAGGTGAAGGATCTGTGAAGGAGAAGAAGGCCCTCAGTGAGATGCATTGATACAGTAACTGTGACAGTGGGCTTAAGCATGTCAGGGATGATAAAAAGGGTTCAGGATAGAACAGGCTTTCAGATATGTTGTTCATAGGGTTACTGTGACTCATACTTGATTCAATGGCACCTAACAGAAATAATACCAGATTTTAAAGTTTCAAAAGACACACATCTTAATGAGACTTTTTGACATATTAATATTTAGTAATAATGAAGTCTTCTCTCTGTCTCCCAAAGTAGAATATAGTGGTGAGAAAGTATGACTAATTAACCCTTTTGTATCCACTCTCTCCAATTCCTGAGTGGTGCAGGACTACTAACTCCAAAATTGGTGATTCAAACTCACTCAGAGACACTTTAGAAGACAGGTGTGATGAACTACTTCCAAAAGGTCACAGTTTTGAAAACTCTGGAGTGTTCTACTCTACCCAAATGAGGAATTAGCTCTATGGTGACTAATAGAAACAACCTCCCCAGCACAGTCCTATGTATATATAATAGGCATTTACTTGAATAAATGAATGAATTGATATTCTGGATATTTTTTTCTATTCAAATTTTTGGAACTTTTCTAAAATTTTAAGTAGCCACTATTGAAAAGAATAATGATGCAGGCACAAGTATAATAACAATCATTTTCTTTTCTCTTCAAGCTACACATGGCAATACTCACAGTAAGTAAATATTTAAAGACACAAGACTCTTCTATTTCAGTGTATTCTGGGAATTGACCTATCAAACAGTATTCCTCCTCTATACTTTCATTATTTGTCATATGACATTTTGGAACAACTAGTAGGATTGCTCAGAAACTTAGTAAAATATAAAAAAATCTATATACTTCTTTGATACATAACAATACATGGGAAAATATGTTAGTTACTCTGTCAGCTTCATCTGTTGGCTCTGAGAGTTTTCTTTTATTACTATATGAACTCAAAGTGCTTGCTCTAGGAAGTTTTGTAGAACTGCCTTGGGGAATAGCAGATGGTAGACATAAATAATAGAAAATGAAAAGATACTTTTGAAAGTCTGAGATAGTTATTTACAATTTTTAAATCAAAGCAAATTATCTTGAGTTTTTTTGGTATTCCAGTCACAGTGGTGAGTGATAAACACTTGATTATTCATTCCCTTAACATTCCCTCTTTTACAAAATACTATACTATGTTCACAGAATAAGAGCTTAACCTATTTCCCATTTGAAAAAAAATATTTATTTCAGAACTATTATAAAGTATTTTCTGCAAAAAGTTATAAAGTAAGTTTCAGAAATTAACTGCTATTTATTTTTCCTTAAACAGCTTTACAAAAATCCCAAAGAACCTGAGGTAAGCAAACATACAGAAGGGTGAGAAGTGTGATTGTGTAATATGTTAAGTATGTTTACCTAATGTAAAGTTATTAATTGTGTTACTAGCATATTATATATAACTGTGAGCTCTTTCATTATGTCTATGTGTGTTTTTTTTTAAAAAAAACCTGATTCTTTTTTTTTAATCTAAATAAAACTTTTATTTTATTCTGGTTTACTTAACAAGTTCATATGTATTGTTTTTCACACCAAATCTTTCCCATGACTCATTCTTTATTAGGTTGTTTTTAAAAACTACAAAGACACATTGGGAAAAGCATTGAGTAGGACTTATCTGTTTCCTAATATACTTTCTTGCAGATGACCATTTTTTTTAATTTTAAATTGATTTTTTAACCCTTCTTGTTTATAGGCTTTTGAAAGAATTAAGTGACATATGGTATAATGATATTTTTTCCCCTTTGTCACCTAAATTCTACTTTTTCTCAACTTGATAGTTTGGCTTGAATTGTGTCCCCTCAAAATAAGTGTAGATTTGGTTACACCATAAATCTCAGTGGTTTGGCAATTACACAGTGATGTACTTTGACAGTTATATGATGATGTAGTAATTCTTCATAATGGGATTTTTTTTAAGATTTTTAAAATTTTTTTAAATTTTTATTTTATTTTATTATGTACCATCAAATCAGATTGACTGGTACAGGAGGAGATTGTCCCTCTTTCTCCAGAAGAGCATCTGGTGGATTCGAACTACACACCTCTGGGATTGCAGTGCAGCTTCTTGCCACTAGGTCACCAGAGCTCCCTCATAATGGGATCTTATGTAATCAGTGAATTAGTTTTAAGGGGATTAGGGTAAGATACAACACCCTTACTCAGGTTATATAGTCTTGATAAGATATAAAAGGAGTTTTCCTGGGATGTGACTTGAATCACCTTTTATCTTGAAAAGTTAAAATGCAAATGAAATGAGCAAAACAGAAAGAAGAGCTGAGTAAAGAGCACCTCATTTGGACCCAGGGTTCTTGTGCTGAGAACCTCCTAGACTCAGATTGATGCCACGACATATGGACATCTTCAAAGAACTCCAGGTCTACAGATAATAAAAAGACAAAAGAACCATCCCTCTAAACTATCAGCTGGCAGAGACGGGGGTGGGGGGGGTGGGGGGAAGCCATCTTCCTAAGGTCGGCATCTAAATTCAAGCATTAGCCTCCTAAACTGTGAGAGAATAAATGCCTATTTGTTAAAGCTATGCACTTGTATTTATCATATAGCAAAACTAGATTATGAAGACAGTGTTTGATATAGAGTGAGGTGCTGCTTTAACATACCTAAAATGTGGAAGTGGCTTTGGAATTGAATAATGAATAGAAGCTGACAGAATTTTAAGGTACCTAGTGGTAAGAATGTTCTAAATGAAGTATTTCAACAAATGGATGCAGCCCTGGATGTGCTCACCTGTCTATTCTAAGAAATTTGAAGGCAGCTACTGGACCAACTGATTGGAAGAGAACCAAATGTGTCCCTATTCCAAAAAAAAAAGATGATCCAGCAGATTATGGAAATAGTCAAACAATACCATTAACACCACATACAGAAAAATCTTACTGAAGATCATGGGAAAACCTGCTGGAACAACACACTGACAAAGAACAGCCAGAAATTCAAGCTGGATTTAGAAGAGGCCATGGCACAAGGGATATCATTGCTGGTGTCAGATGGATCTTGGCTGAAAGCAGAGAATACGAGAATGATGTTAATTTGTGTTTTACTATATAAAGGCATTTAACTGTGTGGAAAATAACATATTATGGCTAACATTGAGAAGAATTGGAATTCCATTTAATTCGGCTCCCACAAAATCTATACTTAGATGAAGAAGCTGTCATCTAACCATAGCAAGGGAACACTGCCTGGTTGAAAGTCAAGAAAGGTGTATAACAGGGCTGTATACTTTCTTCATACCTGTTCAGTCTGTATTGCAAGCAAATAATTCAACAGTCTAGACTTTATGAAGAAAAATAGAGCAGACTCATCAACAATCTATGATATGCAGATAACGAAACTTGTTTTCCATTTGACATTTTATACCCATTTTGTTTTATGATGTTGGTTGGAATACCATCAATGTAAGAATGTTACTTCCTCGTCTCTTCTTAGTCCTTAATTTCCATTTAGCTTTATTTCATGTCTCTTGCTGCCTTCTCAGAGTTTAATTTTTTACAAATGCTACCCTTTTAATTTCATGTGGTTGATTGTGCTGAGGAGTACATAATTCTCTACTACATAACTCAACTTTATACATGTGCAGTACAGTGAGTCTGTTTATCAAATTTTAGCTTGCCTTTACCATTGTCTTTAATCTGATCTAGCTGTCTCAACTTTGCCTGGTCTGCAAACATGTGGCCCACCTACATCAACAACAGCTGCACAAACCATTTCTTCTTCATACAGATAGAGCATGTTAGTCTGTCAATAAGGGGATTAGCTAGTCTCACCATTAAATTGAGCAGATTCTGTGGCAGAAAGTAGGAATCTTACCAACAGAAGAAGAGAATGGACAGGAGATTCCTGTGCCAGGGGTTATATCTTACTGTTGACTGAGAAGTTGTCTGGTTCTAGGGAGTGTATCTTGCTGTTAAATTAGAAGCTCTTTAGAATGAAGGATTATATTTTGATGTTAACCTAAATTATAGCCTGTTACGGACTGTTTCTGAGAAGTTCTCTGAACTGAGGAATTCTTTCTGTTAATCTAAATTAATAGCTGTTAACTTCCCTAACAAATCCCATAGCTGTGAATATGGTTCTGTGAAGTCTGTGTGATCACTGCAATGGATTTTGGACTCAATAAGTGAGTGCAGAAGCATGGAAGGACATGTCTGACCTCAGGGGAATTAGTTTTGTGGTGTAGATACTGTTGATGAGGATGGTTCTGCCTTGTGGAGTTAGTAGAGATGGGACTCGACCTGCCCTACATTATTCTTGCTCCAATTACAACATCCTTCTATTGTTTGACTGAGAGTTGATCTCTGAATATGATTTCGTTTTCAACTTTAAAGTAATTTCTCTCTCTATTCCTTTTGACATTTCTAGAAAATGACTGAGATTTACCAGTTCAAATTCAGCTACACGAAGGATGGAACCACCATGGATTTTGACAGGTAAAATTTAATTGTTGAAAGTGATAATTATATGGCATTAAAGTCAAGCATAAGCTTCGTGAAGCCAGGGCTTTATGCTTCTTTTGTAATTTTTATGCTGACTCTAAAATACTCCATTATTATTTAAAAAAGAAGTCTTTGTGACAGAGTGTATAAAGTACTGACCAGCCACTCCATGGGAGAAAAAGTAGGCAGTTTTCTCCCATAAGGATTTACAACCTCAGAAACCTAATGGAGGGTCACCATAACTTAAAATTGATTCAGTGACAGTGAACTTGGTTTTTAAAAGAACTTTTAGAATTTTTCTTTTAAGAACTTTTAGAATTTCTTAAAACCACAGTTGAAGATAATGTTGTTGTTGTCGTTATGTGCTGTCGAGTCGCCTGCGACTCATAGCGACCCTATGTACAGCAGCCCTAAAATCCGCTCTGTCCTGTGCCAATCGCACTGTCTCCGACACTCCCATCCCAATTATCCCAGTCA